TCTCTTTTTAGGTCTTTCTCTTACAAACATGCTTTCATCTCTAGGATTAGATTTAATTTCCTTTTTGACTTCTAACTCCCTATATCTTAAAGCATCAATGACTATAGCTTAAGTTAGTTTATCCCTTGAGTATTTATTGCATTTTTGACATCTTTATATGAGTTAGGTAATGAGTTTAAAGGATTACATCAAGGTCTTCATCATCAAATTTCTTCTCATTATGTGCAAGGCTTTTCACTATGATACTAAATTTACTCAAATTTACCTCTAAGTCCTTCCCCGGGTCCATCCTAATGCTAAACAGATTTTCCAAGAGATAAATTTTATTGGTAGTGTTTTAGTTAAGAACATAGCATTAAGGACAGTCCATAGGGCTCTAGCAGTTATGGATTCATCAATTTGTCTTACAATGTTATCAGACAAATGTAAAATTATGAAACTATAAGCAATTTCATTCATGTTTTCAATTTCATTTGGTTTTGCCTTAAGTTCAGCAGAAAAAGTTTCAGGATCATCAAGGGCCTTAGAGACCTTGTGTTGAACCAGAATGACTCTCATTTTCTGCTTCCATATAGAGTAATCCCTCTTTCCATCGAATTGAGACAAGGTGACCTTCAAACCCATCATGGGTTCTATAAAAGGGTGGCCTATGGCTCATGGACATAATATAATCTTGAATTAAAGATCAACTAGTGAGTAGAAAATGGTTTTGAAATTTTTTTCAAAAATCCAAGCAAATATATATTCACCAAACTTGAAATAAGAACAATAATATTTGATACAGAGTGAGTACTCCAAGTAATCAAGTAATTGCACCAAGTTATATACAAGAACTTAACTAACGCAGTATGCTCACAATAACAGAAATATGCAATTCAAATTACAGTACCAATTCTACCATGTATCACATACATATATCTTATATCAATTATCAAGGACTAAAATCATTATACAAAAGCCCCAAACAATTAAAATGTTCTCACCATATACTGTCTTAATAGTAAAGAAGAACACACTGTTAGTCTCAACCTAAGGACAGAAAGAACTCCTCCTTTCAGGAAGTAGACCGTGGTTTTTTCACCACCATTCACCAAGGTATCCCTTCCAAACAACAACACAAAAAGGTCACAAATTAGATCTTTCAATTTATTTAAAAAAACAATCAAATTAACAGGAAAGAAAGACCCCTCAAAGTGTTCTGTTATAAAATTGCACCCTAAGAAAAATCAGACAAAAGAAGTAAATGACACAAACAATTTTTCGTTCAAAACTTGCACCCCCAGTGAGCTTGAAGGCTCTGATACCAGTTGTTAGGGTTCTTTCCTTACACAGTTTAACAAAACAGTAAAATAAACAAACCACGGTGCAAAAGTAAAAGAACGCCACAAAATTGTTCACCCAATTCGACAATCGCCTAATCTGAGGGCCCAAAGATTAGCCCGATAACTAAGCGCGCAAAAACCGTCCAAAAAAAAAAAAAAAGAGTACAGATCCAGAAAACTCAATCAGACTCAGAGATAATTATCGATCCACACATGGATCTCTTAAATCTCAAGAACTTAACCAAAAATAAGAACAAGACTTTGTGCCAACCACTACAAACACTAAATCAGCCAATATTTTAGGCCTAATTACTGTTGCAACATGAATCACACAGATTCAACCATTATTTTGGCTAGACTACACTTAAGTGATCAAAAGATCGAAGAAAATCAAAAGATGAAGATTGAGAGTCCAGAAGAGAGAGAGGCGATGAATCTAGAGACTCAGAAAATTGAAAAGTGACTTCAACCGTCTAGTCCCAAGAGTCTCATAGTGGAGTAAATTTATCTTAGCCATAGGTTGTATCCAACGGTCCAGTAGCCTCACAAAGAAGCATAATCCAAGTGAACATGTTTGAACCAATTCGGGGTTGCCACATGGCCTTCCAACCAGATTTGTCGAACTAAAAGAGTTGCTATTTTTGAGGAACACGTTTTATACACAACAATTTCCATACGGTCCATTACTGAATACAAAATGGTGAACTTTAAACTGTCTTTATAGAGAGGGAAACAAATGCAGACTTATTCACTAAGCCATTGGGACAAGTTGCTTTTCATTCTCTATTTTGCTCGTTAGGAGTTCTTGACATTGAGACTATTTTGCTTCCGGTATAAGACCCAAACTTAGAGGCTTATCCTCTATGCTGACAATTTACAAATGATTACAATATGATCAAGTGATCACTTATCAAAGGAAAATAATTGAAAACACTGGTAGTCTTTGGATCATTACATATTGGGGAGAAAAGGAATTCTTCACTCTGTCTGATCGTTATGTAAGGAGAGTATAAATTAACACACTGCTGGGTACAATTTGACGGTAAATACAAAAATAGACTGCCATTTTTGGATTTGGGAGAGTAGTTATATATCTTGCTTTTTTTGCTTCTTTAAAATGGCAAACTATTTGATGATGGTGAGCTTCGTTCACTTGGCAAGTCGTGCAAGGATACTGTAGAATATTCTTGGCTACCAAACAGTACTATGCTATCTAAGTCATGCTTTTTAACAGTGAGATTCAGTGGTTTCTCGCTTAAATTGGATGAAGACGAATTCGAGGATGCCTCTGATGAAGCTGTGATGCAATCTTCTGCGTTCGCCAACTGACTGAGCCTAATTTGTTCCAGTTCAATGGCTACTTCCATCATTGAAGGCCTCATGTCCCTATGAAATGCAAGACATCTGAATGCCAGTTCAGCTACCTTGTGTATAGATAAAAGAGTCCAAGCATCCGTATTTTGTTTAAGTAAGGGGTCGATAATCTCATCCAAATGCCCTTTTCCAATCCGGTCTACAGCAAGAGCAGCCAAATTAACCTCGTTCTGTGGTCGACTAAAATCCACTACTCTTAATGCTGTTATGATCTCAATAAGAACCACCCCCAGACTATAGACATCGCTTTTATCAGACAAATGGAAATGCTGATGATACTGAGGATCAAGATATCCGGGAGTACCTTGAGGCGCGGTTGAAATATGGGATGATTCAGTCAATCCTAGTCTAGAAAGCCCAAAATCTGCAACTTTTGATGTGTAACTGTAATCCAAGAGAATGTTACTGGATTTTATGTCCCTGTGATAAATAGGAGGATGCATAGCATTGTGTAGATAGGATATAGCTTGAGCGGTTTCAGCAGCGATAGTGAGACGAACCGGCCAAGACAGTCCATTACCCTTTTCTCTTTGCAGATGCTGAGATAGAGTCCCATTGGGCATATACTCATAAACAAGAATCTGCTCTTCATTTTCTATCGAACAACCTAAGAGTCGAACAAGATTTGGGTGACTGACTGAGGACAGAAGCTTGATTTCATTGATTACTTGTTCAATACTCCCAGTATCTCTATGCTTGATCCTTTTGATTGCAACCCATTCGTCGCTATGCAGTTTTCCCGAATATACAGTTCCATATGCGCCATTTCCAAGTCTTCGTTTTTCACAGAAGAAATCTGTAGCTTTCTCCATTTCCTTGTAAGGATATACAGGAATAGAAATCCCTGTCTCTTCACATAATTGGCGTCTTTTTTTACTACTGCTTCTCAATTTCGATCTTCTTCGAACGAGACAACATATGAGACCTAAACTGATCATCAATGAAGCACCTGCTGCAACACCTATATAAGCAAAATTCCTTATTCAGACCACAGATTTCCACGAAAGAATCTGCATCACAATGGACAAAGAAATGTTATTACCTCCTACTAAAGCACCAACTCTAGTTGTTCCTCCACACTTGCCTGATAAGTACTTGGAAGGATTGCATGTCTCTGAATCTGTTTCTTCACCATTTAATGAAGTTCAAAATCAGGCATTGAAAGCATAATATATAAGACGACTCGACATAATTGAACACAAGGATTGTTTATCGCGGATAGAATTATCCAAATATAATTAGGTTCAAATTTTTCGAGTTTTATTTTCAACCCGGTTTTCTTTATAATTTCTTGATTTTCATATCAAGCACGAAAAACCCACTTTTTATTCATATGCATCATACTGAATTTGGACATACTTACAGACATTATTATGTCTACAGGTATCTTTTAGATGTCACGAAGAACAAATTTGTACGTATTTCTTGACAGAAGATAATTTAAATAGAGGGTCCGTAGTCCCTACTATTTCTATCGTTTGGTGAACTAACCTACTGTTAAGCATGTCTTATTCTTTCTTTAATCAGACAAAATGATTAAGAATACATATATTTCGTTCCCACGACCAAATGATGTAAGAAAATTTGGCCGGTTAGACTAATGGATTGGATTGACTTGATATAATACCAAATGATTATCATCAAATTATAGTTTATAGCACGATCATGCTGACCATGATTAAAGTTCTTTGGCCCCACAATTCACAAGTAGTTTCGTAGAGGAAACATCAGCAAAACTAATGCCCAAGTTTGTTACATGATTATTTGCAGACAAACTCAAATTAATGTTACTATACTAATCACCCAATTTTCATTTTCGTGAGTTTTTTTCTCGATTAATGGAATCGTTCTTAAATATACACGTGTGATATAAATTTTAATAAAAATTGATAAAATATGCCGTTGAAAAGTTAATTAGTAATGTTATTTAGCATCATTAGTGTTACAACTTCAGTGTATGTGTACAATTAAATAAATCATATAACTTCACATTTAATTGAATCCATCACATAATGTCACATATATTGGTGCTATATAGCACGAATTCTAAAGTTCTAGCAAAGTTTCATCGAAATTATGAGCACAAAAACTACTGAATCGGGAGAAATTTCGTGTCTGATTAATGTAATTAATCGCAAGAAATATGACCATTACGTATTGTCCATTATTGCCATGGCCCTTAAAGTCGCTCAAAGAACAAAATTAATTAAACGTTTGAATTTATCGATGGTGCAACTTTTGGAAAGATGTTGGACTTTTTATTAGGCATACAAGAAGTGATGATAATTACTTCAGGCATTTGAATTTTGAAAAAAAAAATAATAATAATAAAAAAAATCATCTTCTGATTGAATAATTACTTGATCAAATGTCCTCCAAAAATAAAGAAGAAAAAAGAAAAGAAAAAAAGAAAAAAGGAAAAAGAAGAGATATAGGGAAAAAAGAAGAAGTAAAAAGCTCGAATTTTACCTTTCCGGCAACCCATGCCGGCGTTGAATCCATCGCCGGTGAAACCTTCGTTGCATTTGCACCGATATGCTGGTTTTCTTTCAACAGGCGACGAAAAATTGGTGCATTTAGCATTTTTAGAGCACTGACAATCCCCTTGAAGCCACCACCCCATCCTAACTATTTGAACATCCAAAGAAACAGAAGTATTGGCTAATGACTCCATTGAGATTGCTGAAAATAGGGACCGACAGGTGCTTTTTCTCAAGTTATGATAATCAACGAATAAACTCTGATTGTTCGTCTCAGAATAGCAGCTGATGTTCTCATTTTTGGAATTGCAATCCGGCAGCTCGAAGTTTGTCTGTACCTGTGTTCTAGGGATGTAACACGCAGTTCGAGGGGCTCTGCAGTTTCGCATCAGAATCGCGTTACTCGAAGTTGGAGCATAGTTTGGGGTGAAGAGACTAAAGAGGGCTTTAATGGATCGATTGCATTTGGCTTGGAGGTTCATCAATATGGTATCAGAGTCAATAGATAGTATCGAAAATTCATTAATAAACATGGTGCCATTATGGCTACAATTCAGTCGGATTTGGCACCCGGTCGAGAATCCAAACGGAAAAAGAACGTTTTTCCCACCACATGATTGGTTGCAACCTGTTGATGCATCTACCATGGCTGATGAAAGAAGAAATGTTAAACATAAGATGAGAAATTGAAATAGGAATCTTGTTTTCATTTTCTTAACATAAGAACCAAGAAACTTGCATATATCAATGAAGTTTTGGCTTTGTATAGCATGAGGAATTAAGAAATTCATGTAATTTGGATGAAAATGATGGGAATTTTGGAGAAAATTGAGTGAATACCTTTAGTCTTGATTTTCATGTTTGATGGGATAGAGACAAATAACATAAAATAATGAAGGAATATGATTATGTATTAATGTTGTGTGATTCTTTTCCACTTTCTACACCGCCTTTGTCCTCTTTTCAAACCTGTGGGACAATACATTTAACAGTTTTTCAGTCACTTGACTAGATGCCCTTCAACTTTTGGATACAACTGTCTTTAGCACTCAATTTTTATTGAATTTTCTTCCTAATTTACCGCCCGCTTTAATATCGAGATCACTCTTTTTTTTTTTTTTTTTTTGGACTTCTAGAGATGGAGTATGGAGAACTCCATATTTCGCGAGTACTAAATTTTGTTTTCTCAATTGTGACGTTACTAGACTTGATATGATAATTATCGACAAAATTTGTCAGATCTCTTTCCTTTAATTTTGTTTAATTTAACGATTAAATATGTTTTAAAACAATGATGGGAGAGAGATCACGGATTCCTAATTTGATCTAAGCTTGTGAATTAAGTATCACTTTTCAATTGTTGAAAAAAGGTGACAAGGATGGATTATTAATTATTGAAAAAATTACCGGAAAAGTCAAGAAATTTACTTATTTTCAGGATTTCACGTCACATGAAAATTAAGCGTAAGAGCTGGCCATTAGTAGCAGTTTATCCCCTGCGATTTATTTATTTATTATTTTTTATTTTAAAAGTAGCAGTCGTCAATTACCCTGTTCACTTCTTTGTCATGAGAAACTGAAAGTCGTTTCGGTTGGTCGAAATGTGGGACCCAGCCCCGTTTGAACAACTTGTTAAATCATTTTCTGGTAGACCTCTTGTTCTCCATTGTTGGTCAATTTAATGTGCCATACACGGCATTCCATTCTTGTACAAATTAAACCATTTCCCACCACAACGTGATCTTTTAGAGTGTGGTGCTTATCTGAAAATCCATGTCACTTTGTTTAGGAGTTCATCTCAAATTGATCAAATAGATTTTTATCCAAACTAGATGGGACGGCAAGGAAGGTTGACCCAAAAATCCATCCACACAGGTCGGTCTATTGGAGACTTTCAGCGTGTTTGGGAGTGATTTTTTCCCCAAAAAAATTAAATTTTTAACCGTTATTTCACCATTCCAACCATCATATTTGACTTCTTTTCTCATGGGTGGATCCCACTTTTTTCCTAACGGTCAAAAAATCAATTCTCGAAATTATTTCCAAACAACCTTTTTATCTGAAAATATCATAATAACACTAACGAAAAGGCGCAATTATCAAATGTAGATTTAAGGTGCTTAACTACGATCTATGTATTACGATAACCTCGCTACCATTTAACTCTCCAACCAATCAAATCTCTTCAAAAAGAGTGGCGGCGCAAAAGTTTAGGTTGGATACACATGATCAAGGCGGCAAGCTCCATTCTATTGCCCCGTACAAGAGGGTAAAAGCCGAACGAAAAAGATTGAGCTGTCTCCATACTAGCACTAAAATTTGATAATTTGTCAAAATTTCTATAAATGATCTAAAATTGTCACATTATTTTTTGTCGTCAACAATTTGAAACTTCATTTTTGTATCGATATATATTTGTCATTTTACTCAATCGATCCATCTGAACTAGTTTATACAAGTATAATATCTTCATATACCTACCCTCTACAGTATACGACTTTATAAGAGTACAATATATGAATCTTAGAATTTGAAAAATGAATATAAATTTTCTCATGAAATGGAAAGATCAGAAACAAAAAAGCCATGAATGTGTGGGCTTAATTGCCACATAATAAAGTTATCGTACTATAAATCTAAAGTCGGATCATCTCACATAGATGGGGTCCAAGAGTTTAGGCCTTGTGGGGATATCTTTATTGTCTTTATTGTGAAAATATAAGTTATTAGATGTTATACAATTTTATTATTTAAAAAAATTATATGCTTACTTAGATCCAAACTGGAATAATCTTTTTAATTAAGAATAATGTTATTTGCAGTCGCTGACTGCAGCAATCATCGTACATGACATGTGGTTATTTGATACATGAGTCAATAAAAAATTACCACATTAATCCATCAAAGAGCTATATGTCATGTGTATATCACCTAGGATGACTGCCATAGTTAGCGACTACAAATAACATTACTCTTTTATTAATGGTTAGGTATGTAAACAATTTTTATGAAGGAATGAGCATGTTGCTTGAACTCAAATCTTTTCACTATATCGATTCTATCTTTTATCTACTTTATCTAATTTGTCAAATAGAGGCTCGATTAACTTTTGTGTCTCAGTGTAATGTCATAATTTCAGCAATTCCTTGGTGGGCCATCTTATGCTAAGAGTTCAAATTTTGTGTGCGCCAAGTTAAGTAGAGCGAGCTTAATGTTTCTAAATTGATGTGTCATTTGTGTGTAATTGACTTTCGAGTTTTATCATTTCACCTCATGTCAGTGATACGACTTATCTTAGTGCATGACCTTGCTTGGTAGACGACATGACTTTCCTTGGTGATATGATCTCGTCCTCGTAGCTTGGCCTATTGAGCATGAGATTTGGTTTGTTAAAGCTTTGACAATTTTAATGTGATCATGGCATTCTTTCGAGTTAGTCAGTTTGTTATGATTGTGATCATGGTGAGGAATCGACATTATTTAATGATATAGCAAGACATCAACTTGGTAAATCTAGCTGTCATAGTTTTGGAGTTTTTTGAATAAAAAAAATGCTGGAAATTGATTAGTAAAAGTCGAATTTGATCATCTTTGACCAACTAGCTAGTGAGACCCACTAATTGAGTACAGAACTTCGTGCCGAATATATTCTACTCTACGGGTAGTTTCTTGAACCAATGGAAATGAATGTTCGATTAAGGTCAAACGTGAGCAGCTTAAAACATGAAAAATGTTGGACATGGAACTAAAATATGGTGAAATATCAATTAAGCTAGGTAAAAATACGTGACAATATATTTTATTATATTTTTACTAGGAGGTCGTATCTATTTCGATAAAAATCTTGTCTTTTGGACATGTCCTTTCCAACAAGTGTGTCTCTTCAAGTATAGACAAATACTAATAGTTGTATCTCTTTCTAACACTTCGTGTAGTTTCAAGACAACTTTTCAACGTGCCCTCCGGACATAGTCCAGTGGTGCAAAAGACAGGAGTGAGGTTAAATCCTGTTTATTCTTAGTTGTTTGAAGAAAATAATGTATTTTTGACCTTTTTTGCTAGCACGTGGGATCCATTGTGAGAGAAGAAGTCGACAATCACGGCTAACAGTGGAACAATGATCCAAAAATGGATTAAATTTGGACAGAAAAATTGGAAACAAACAGGACCTAGGTAGTTTTTTGATGTTGAAGAGTGAGCTGCTTAAGGCAAATAAAATAAACAATAATGCAAGCTCTTTTCTAACAGCTTCAAATTAAACCCACAATAATAAAAGCAGGAAAAACTAAAGATACAAAAATACCTTTAATTTTAAATAAAATGTCACACCCTATATATTAAATTATACAACAATTTGCATACTATTTCGTTTATTATTTTAACATTTTTCAAAATTTAATTGCTAGAAGCCGTTATCTTAATAAAACGTTTTTATCTTACAAGTTTTATTTTATTCGTTTCCTTGAGTTTCAACTTAAGAAATAAGAAATTGGCTTTAGGATTTAATATTGATTGAAAAGTATAGATAAAAACTTCATTTGATTTTTATTCAACGTTATAAAATGAAACTTTTTCATATTTTAACTAAAAGTTATGTCTATGATATAAAAATTATAAAAATCATATAAAATAATTTTTTATATTGGTTATTATTTTGTAGCTTAAAATTAATTTTTAATTCGTTTTAAGTTGGATTATTAGCTTTATATATTCTATAACCTGAAAACTATTTAGAAATGTATGTGTACTCTCTTTTTATTTTGGTTCTCTTTCGTGCTATTAAAATAAAAACTAAAGTTATCTAGTCGTTTTCAAAATTTGCAGTAGAAAAAGAAAAGGTTAATAATCAAATCAAGAGACTCTACAAAAAAAATTAGTTTTTGAAGAACGAAGTGAATGAGAAAGAAAAATATTTTAAATGAAAAATAGAATAATTAATTTTTTTAAAAGTCATAAAATAGTTAAAATGTAAAGTATTACATAATTAAAAAAAAATTATTGTGAACAAAAAATTATTATATTATATTTTTAATTTTTAATTTTTTAAGCAAAATGTGCCATTAGTTACCTTGCAATAAAAAATATTATGCAAACGTATGTATTTAGAAAATAATTTGTGTGTAAAATGTAAATAGACTTTTTAGGGATAAATCCCTACGACGACTCCCTAAATTCAATATAAACGGTGTATTTTGTAAATTTTCAAAAATAAACTATAGTCTTAACATTAGAACTCGTCAATTTAGCTCGTATAAAAAAACATTACATTTCCTACCAAAGTCTTGCAAGTTGTAACATACCAAATTTTATTTTAATGCTGTTGTGCCATTCCTTTTGTTTCCATTTGCATCGCTTTGTCTTGGACTAGCAGGTTTATGCTCAGAATCATTTTCAAGAGGTTGGAATTATATTTTAAAATTGTATATATTTTTTAATATAAATATATTCCGCAACCATGCTGTCATAATTGTAACGTTTTCAAACCTTTGACCACGATAACATATTTTCACATTTTTTTTATTTAAATATATTCCATGATTATACCTCCATTCTGTCTTAAGTGTCCAAGAAGTAACATTTTCAAAACTTTGACCTTGTAAATATATTACATTTTCAATTATTCTTTTCATTCTAAAATAAGCCTGAGATGTCGAAGGCGAACCATAAGATGATTCTGGAAAGACGATGAGTTTTCCATTTTAGTTTTTTAGTTAACTTGAAAATATATCTTCATTAATCGAGAAATAATTTTTTTTGTTTTTTTTTTTGGGCGACTACGATATTTATTTATCTTTTTTTTTTTTTTTTGAATTTCCGGATGCAATGTAG